ATAATTAAAAACACAGGGAGAGGATGAATGACTACTATATTAGATTATAAGATTGATATTGAGCAAACCTAGTTGAATTCGTTATTTGAGGATTGTTTAAAGAAAGATAGGATTAATCTGCTTGGAAAGAAAGTGACGAGGCAAAATTGAGAAATATGGTTTCTAAAAAGAACCAGGTGAAATTAAAGAATGGCTAAGAGGCTCTGATGGGCAGAAATTTATCCTTCTTGAAAGATTTTTCCTGAACAACGCTGCTATTTACAAACCTTATGTAATAATCTGTTTTAGAGTTCAAATGACAAGGGATTCAAGGTCACTAATAAAGGATTGACAATACTTTCGTGACAGAAAAATTAGCTGAATAAACAACATTTATACTTGAAAAAGAATTTATAAAGAAACATAAATTTGAATCAGGAAATTCTGAATAGCTTATTAAAAAAATTATTGACCAAAAAACCCTGTAATACGAGATGCCTTGAACTAAATTAAGAACAGGAAGCAAGAGATTAGTTTGGAGGCTGAAGCTTTGGTGGATTTTTGGGAATTTGTAGGTAGATGAAGCCTATATGGAGTAGAAATACTTTGACTTCCCAACCATCAAATATTTTTACTCTTACTGAAAGAGTATGTGTTTAAAATATTCTGATCTGCTAGATCTTAAGAAACCCTGATCAATTTCAACTCAAGCTGAATTAGCATACCATTCAGCCTTTACAAGGAGAATTCATATAAAAGAGGGATTTCAAGGATTTTTTTGGTTTGTTTGATAGTAGATTCATAGCAGACTTCGATCAGCTTTAAAGGGTAACTTATTCTTATGATAAAATTTTCCTAACCATAGAATCAGTCTAAATTGTGTATGAAGGAGTGAGAATCATGTAAGTCTGCGAAGCTTATGGTTACTTTGTATGCAAACCGCTTAAGAGAAATAGAGATAACGTGCATCATTATCTACTCAAAAAAATTAGCGAGCAACTAATATCATATATAACAATGAATCAAATAATCTTAGATGGAAATATAAATTTAATCTAATCTAATGATTTGAATAACTGGCATCACATTTATACCAACTTATATTTTCGATCCGTTATTTCCACTCTAATTTCATCATGGCATATAATAAAATGGGCAAAGGACTCATTTAAATATTATCGCTTCAGCATTTTGATATTTTTAGTTTCATCAATAATCTACTAAATACCCCTGATAAATTTGATGTAATCGAAGAAAATGTAAGAGAAAGGGAAGCTAATTAAAATCAAACTATTGATTCTATATAACCTTTCTAATGACAAGNAAGTCAGTTGGCTTTCAAAGATCATAAATAGAATTCTCTTCCCCCCATTTAAAATGATTAAATTTTAATAAAGTAAGGATGTACCATCAAAAGTCTGATGAACTCTTTCTTAACTCCTCAATCCAAACCTAAACCAATTATGTTAAAGCCTTAGTGATAATTAAAAACACAGGGAGAGGATGAATGACTACAATATTAGATTATAAGATTGATTTTGAGCAAACCTAGTTGAATTCGTTATTTGAGGATTGTTTAAAAAAAGATAGGATTAATCTGCTTGGATTGAAAGTGACGAGGCAAAATTGAGAAATATGGTTTCTAAAAAGAACCAGGTGAAATTAAAGAATGGCTAAGAGGCTCTGATGGGCAGAAATTTATCCTTCTTGAAAGATTTTTCCTGAACAACGCTGCTATTTACAAACCTTATGTAATAATCTGTTTTAGAGTTCAAATGACAAGGGATTCAAGGTCACTAATAAAGGATTGACAATACTTTCGTGACAGAAAAATTAGCTGAATAAACAACATTTATACTTGAAAAAGAATTTATAAAGAAACATAAATTTGAATCAGGAAATTCTGAATAGCTTATTAAATAAATTATTGACCAAAAAAACCTGTAATACGAGATGCCTTGAACTAAATTAAGAACAGGAAGCAAGAGATTAGTTTGGAGGCTGAAGCTTTGGTGGATTTTTGGGAATTTGTAGGTAGATGAAGCCTATATGGAGTAGAAATACTTTGACTTCCCAACCATCAAATATTTTTACTCTTACTGAAAGAGTATGTGTTTAAAATATTCTGATCTGCTAGATCTTAAGAAACCCTGATCAATTTCAACTCAAGCTGAATTAGCATACCATTCAGCCTTTACAAGGAGAATTCATATAAAAGAGGGATTTCAAGGATTTTTTTGGTTTGTTTGATAGTAGATTCATAGCAGACTTCGATCAGCTTTAAAGGGTAACTTATTCTTATGATAAAATTTTCCTAACCATAGAATCAGTCTAAATTGTGTATGAAGGAGTGAGAATCATGTAAGTCTGCGAAGCTTATGGTTACTTTGTATGCAAACCGCTTAAGAGAAATAGAGATAACGTGCATCATTATCTACTCAAAAAAATTAGCGAGCAACTAATATCATATATAACAATGAATCAAATAATCTTAGATGGAAATATAAATTTAATCTAATCTAATGATTTGAATAACTGGCATCACATTTATACCAACTTATATTTTCGATCCGTTATTTCCACTCTAATTTCATCATGGCATATAATAAAATGGGCAAAGGACTCATTTAAATATTATCGCTTCAGCATTTTGATATTTTTAGTTTCATCAATAATCTACTAAATACCTCTGATAGATTTGATGTAATCGAAGCAAATGTAAGAGAAAGGGAAGCTAATTAAAATCAAACTATTGATTCTATATAACCTTTCTAATGACAAGTTTGATGACTTCTATAGGCAGGAAGGATTTAGTAAGATCAAGGCATTTTTTATCTAATTGGACTTTTTTGCTGTGAAAGTAGCCAAAAAATATTAAACGTATTTAGCCTAAAACCTATTTGTTGTTTAAAATAACAGAAATTATTAGATAAGTCATGAAATAGTTGTTAAAGGGTCAAAGAGGAATTTATCAATTAAATTTATTAAATGAAATTATCAATAATCGAATTTTCTGAAATTCTCGTTTGCTCTTTGGTACCAACAACATAAATATAAATTGCAATTGCAGAAATTATTACTTAGAAGCGGAGTGTAAAGGTTGCATGAATTTTGCCATTAGCTTAATATGGAACGAATTTGCTATTATTGTTATTTTCAGAATTATGACTTAACCCATTTAGAAGAAACAATTAATTTTTTCATTAAGATTTTTCATCATGATAATCTCATGAGAAAATTTAATTAGTGAAAAGGTAGATAGCAAACAGATATTACAGATAAGAGGTAAAGTAGGTAAACATCTCATACTATAAAAAATATAAAAGTGTTATATCGTCAGTACTAATGAATTTATTTAAGTAGACTATTGTTAAAGAAACGAAATGCAAACAAAAAGCAGTATCCTAGAACTTGGTTGACATTAAATATCTATTAAGTACCTTAATGAAAATTATCCTCCACTATAGATTTTGAAAAACTCAAATAATTGGAGCTTATTTTCTCATCTGTCAAACCGTTTAAATAATTTTCATCCATAATACTTATTTAGGAATAATTTATGAATATTATGGCTGTGAATCATTACATTAAGCTCTTCAACTTTCTAAGAACAGAGTCCTCATTCCCTTGATCACATCATAGGGAAACTTAAACCTACAGGTAATTAATGGATCTGGGAAGTCCAAAGAAGGAAGGGAAACATAATGGAAGTTTTACTCAAGAGGATCTGGATGCACTAGAATAGATGTAATTATATTATATACCTATGATATAGTTAAAAGATAGAAAATGAACTTCCTCAATCGTGTTCATTAGGGATCCTTTTAAGCTTCATTCTTACATGATATCATCTTTGATTAATTAATCAAATAGCTGGATAAGTGGTTCCTAATCAAGGTGATATCCAATAATCTCATAAGGAGGAAATAGAAAGTTATTCAAACAGCTAAAAGGCATTTAATTTTTGCTCCTGCTGAATAATTGGCTTTATTAACTCTGAAAAAGCTAACAGAAATAAAATGGATAAAAAAAATGATTTGTTTCAAAATTTTTGGGTTAATCACTTTTTATGCAATTAAAGGTTCATGAAATCTGAAGAATTTTTGAATCATTATATATAAAAAATTGAGTTATTGGCTATACTGGTTTCAAAACCACATTGAACAAAGTCGAGAATGAATTTTGAGGGCTTTGGCTTACTCTTACAGCTTTGACGAAATCAATCCAAAAATATAACGCTTATTAAATGTATTCAAAAACACAGCATTAAAAATCATTTATAATGATCGCAGAAACCAAATAACAAAGGCTCATGCATAAAAATTCTAACTCAAATTAGTTAAAGAATTATTAGAGAGACAATAGAAGGATTATCAATGAAGTTATTTAAATACTTGCCAGATTGGAGTTATTAGTAAGGAGTGAAGAAAGGACTAATTAAATGAGAGGATGTGATTGCTCATGAGTAGCAAGGCTTAACATTCTAATTGATGTATCAAATTTTTAATGTAACTATTCTAAAGTTGTAAAGACTCTTGATTCCTGGCAAATTAAAATTTATTAAGTTATATTTAGAATTTAAATTCTTTTAAGTATCCAATTTCACTATTAAGAAACTTTAATGTAATTAGAAATTTTATGAGATATTTGTGAGATAATGTTCTAATACCAATTAATTAATTATGGAGTTAGTTAGATGATTACACAATGGTGTATGCTCAATTAATTACAAATGTGACTGCCATTATTGAGACTTTAATAAATGCTTATTAAATATATAACTTTCTTAACATTCTAATGGAATTAAATTTTTATTCTTAGTATTATAGAACTTTAAAATTTTAACTATCCTACCTGTCTAGTTGAGCCTAGGTTTCAGCAACTAATAGCAGCAGTACGCATAAAATAAAGGTAGCCATATATTATTCAAAAACATCATCTTTATAAGATACTTATATTTTTTATATTTGCTTTGTTATAATTATTATAATGTAAAATTTGTAAAAATCTATTATTTATAATCAATTAATGTATAATTCATATATATTGTATTTCTGTCCCGCTTTATCCCATATTACTAAATATTTTCCATCATTAGTTAATGCTCCTGATATTGTATTTGATTCATATTATATCCATGTGATTATTTTTAATTAGCCATCATTTTATATTTTGATAAAGTAAAGGTTATATTTATGCTTAACAATTATTAAATTTGTGTTTTTGACATGCATAATTGGAGCTATGTTTCTATCACATTATGAATTATTTTAAACTAACTAGACTTACTTTTACAAATTTTCTTGAAAATTTTAGTTTATAACTTCAAATGTGCAGATGCAATCCTTGCTTACTTTATTTCCAGTTACCCATATAAATTAGTTATCATTAATGAAGCATAATCTGCATCCAAATTCTTAAATTGATTATGTAACTCTATATCCAAATTACCATATTTGTTTGTTGTCTTTTTTCCAAATAATTATTTAATCATCACCCCCGCAAGAAATCAAAGTATCTTCAGATTCATTAAAGCTTAAACTATAAACGTTATTTGTATGTTTCTCTAATGAATAAAGGTAAGCTAATTAATTATTAGCAAAACTAATATTCCAAATTTTTATTTATTTATCTAAACCTCCAGTGGCAAGTTAATTTTCAGATTTATTTAAAATTAAGCAATCTATACAATTGGTATGCTCCTTATAGGATAAAGAACTCTACCATTAATTTTAATTAATCTATTTCCAACATCTAATTGATTAATCATAACCTGCTGATAAAAAACTATTGCTATACTTACTAAATTAAAGACAACATATATAATTGGTATGCTCACTAATTTTGCTAATTTCATTCATATTTCCTTTATCAAAACTCCATATTTTAATGTCATTATTAGAGGCTGAAATTAGGAGTGATCCAGATTAATTAAAAGAAATTGCATAACAAGATTTTGGTTCTTAAATTGAATTATCAATTAATTTCATATGATGGATTAGATTTAAATTGATTAATATTTTTTCACATGATGAATATAAATTTTAGTTTTTAAGACAACTTATTTCCATATTTATTTTGTTTAAATATGAATTATTGATTGTTTTTATTTAATCAATAATAGCCTGTTAATTAAACAAGTTTTACACTTTACTATCAATTATTACATCTAATTCATCAAAGAAACTATATTTTGAGTCACTTTATCCAATAAGATTAAGATTATTCATCCATTCTTTAGAATTCGTTATTACTTCATCAAATTATAAAATTATTTTTTACTTTAACTTAATAATCTCATTCAGAAATTATTCTATCAACTCTTCATCAACTTTAATTAATCTTTAGGTATTTTCTAATTTATTCTTTTATTTTTCTTAAATTAATTAAAGTACTTTTTTAAATCCCATTATTTTAGTCTCTGCTTCTAAATTTTCCATGCATAAAGCACATAATAAACGTTCATCTCTTTTTAAATTGCGATCTAATAAAACCATCAGGATTGGTTGGTTATGGTTTTGGCTACAATTGAATTATTCTTCTAATTCTATCATTTTTGGTTAAAACATTAATAATTTAATTTATAAACTATTAATTGGATTCAGGCTGGTTTAAAATTATGTAATATAATCAATCATATTTAATTGAATTGACTTCATTGTTTTCTAAAAAAATCCATCTCCTAACCTTTAATTCTTAGATTAAATAACCAATTACTAGCATTGAAGCCAAGAGCATTTCAAATAGCATAGAATTTTAAGGAATCAACCTAGGAAGACAGAGGATTTCTTAATTGATACTCGCAAAAAATACTTTGTTAGTTTAATCGAATTTAACCCAAGTTTATCCAGCTTAAATGAGATGAAGTCAAATAAGTTTCTACAAAGGAGTTTCATAGTTATATCACATGCTTGAGACCCTGAGATTTGAAAGAGAGGCTGATAACCATTCTTATACTGGTTTATAGGGTTATCACGATTCGTTTATTGATAATTGTGACTCCTAAGTATTTAACGCAATTAGCTATTCTATACCAATTATATCCAATCCCTTTTATGAGACTACTTCATCATCAGCATACAGATTAATAAATTTAATTTAGATTAATTATCCTCTTCTGATCCTTAATAACTGTAATTGGGTATGCTTTTCCAGAACAAAATTGAATAGATATTGAAGAAAAACAGTATCAAAACAGAGCTCTCATAAAATGTTTTCCTAAAATAAATACAAAACCAGAAATTTCATAGGAGTGAAGATTCCTAAGTATATTTATCCTCTCTAGGGTATTTGAGGAAACTTCTCTTTTAACATTGTTAACGCATTTTACAATTCAAGTAATACAAGGATTCTATTGGCCTTTCTATTTAAATTCCTTCTTCGATGATAAGTGCTTTTAAAACCAGAGTTAAGAGAAACCAATTTAGCAAGCATTAATTAAATCAGAAAAATATTCTCAAATTTTAAGCCTTCACTAGCTTGATGGAGAATCCCTATCAGACTTACCCAATTTAGTTACAACGATCAATAAAAAAAAAAGCAATAAATAACATAAATGAATTAATTTGTACTGAAGTATTAAAATAAAATTCTTAAAAATATGAGAGATAATTTCAAGATTGCAATTAATATGCTAAATTAACAACAAATACAATTCTTATTGATGTTTTGTTCTATTTGTAAATATTTTTCAATTATCATAATTTGTTATATTATGGTTTTAATTCTTCTTTAAATTCATCTCTATCCATTGACCAACTTTTCTCCCGTTTTTATACTCACCTATCTGAGTGATTTACTTCCTTTAATTCCATTCATCATTAATCTCAATCCAACTTCCAATCTTAAAACCCTTACTTTGTTTATCATATGATCCACCGCCACTAAAATTCTTATTTTTAATTTATACATCCTTTGCAATTTGTTAGAATCATCCAAATAGAAAATGCCCCACTCACCAATTTTTATGCTATTTGAATATTCACCTTCATAAAGGATTGATGGCGATTACAAAAATATATTTTCGGTTTAGTCAATCCACTTCCAAAACTTAATTCCGATGCCTTCTTCATGTTGCAATCCGCCCCCGCTATGAATGTCACCTCCTTCATGATATGATCCACCCTCACTATGTTTGTTATAAAAGATAATTTACAGCTCTATAAATTCATCATTATATATCCATCCAAAAGCCCATTGACCAACTTTTTTACCATTCTTATATTCCCATTTCCAAAATAAAACCAGGTGTTTATCAATATCATCATCAAGTTCAATCCATTCCCCAATTTTAATCTCCTCATCTCCTTCAACATATGATCCACCGCCACTAAAAATGATTTTTTTTTAAGTTAATAGGATAATTTACATTTATTTAAATGGCTTGGTCTAAATTGTTTCAAATTTTTTAGCCAAAATATCCCATCTCCCAACCTTTTTGCCGTTGTGATACTCACCACTATATATAACTTAATATTCTTAAGAAAATCCATCACTCAATTAAGTCCATATACCCATAATTCCGTATGTCTAAGAATTATTGCTTTGAATATTAATCAAAAAACTTCCATAAAATAAGAGTAGTATTTGTTACCGTGGCTGCTAAAAATTAACCATTGCTTGAAAATGAAAGGATTTAATTTACCTCTTAACCATCTTTTTTGTTTTCCGGCATTAAAATCCAAGAGTATGACTGGAGCTTCTGGTGTTTGTCCATTTCAAGATCACATTTATCAAATTATTCCACTTGATAATTTAATTTTTTTTTTAATCAAAAAGCTAAAACCTATTTTAATACAATAATATGAAAAGAAATCATGATGGATTGATTGGCTTTTTGATTACATTATCATAATGATATAGGAAAAAATCATTTCAGTAATTTTCAATACCTTTGATTAACAATCAAAAACAAAGGTTCTTTCAATCAAACTAAGTAATTTTTTGATTCATAAGAAATGAACCAATAATTCTGTTGTGGTTTAATTTGATAATTGTTTTTTAATTATATTTTTGTATACAATATTCAAAATAAATTGTAAAAGAAATTTAGATAGCTGTTTTAGAAGAATATAGAGAAATTGAATGATCAAATAACTATGTTGCCTAAAGAAAATTTATGCTAAACAATTAAAATAATAATATTAGAAATCATAAAGTAATTAGCAGCTAGTTAAAGGGTTCATCTTCTCCATTTTAGGATTCTCTAATTAATTTATTTCAATCCAATGTAGAAACGAATTACGTAAAAATGTAATTTTCCAAATAAATCATAAATTCTATCAGAATTTTATATTCGGTATCTTTAGAATTCAAAGGTTTTTCCTTTTGAATCATTTTTATAATTGTATTCCATCCTTTCCTGCTCTCTGCTCTGATGAGTATTACTTGAGCTATGTTTATTGAATAACAACATTATTTTTTTGATTACGAGGTTGGCACGACTTTCTTAATTCTTTTTCTCATTTTTCTCACGTTTCCAGAAATAATCTCTTAAATAAGATAATATTTAATCGTATTTCTTCAAAAATTAATAATTGTTTATAATATTTATTTTTCTAAAGAATTTCTAAGAAAAACATATAATCTATTCTCACCCATTTCTTAGAGGAATTAATTTCCTTTCCATTGATTTTCTTTAAATAATTAATGCTATCAAATTTGGGATAAAAAGAATTAATTAGGGTTGGTATCATATTGAAAACAAGAGATGGTATTCCATATTTTACTTTTGCTAAATTTGATTGATATTTGTACCTTTTATCTTCTGTGTAATCTGGTGAATAATTAATTATGAGTCCTGGTTTTCTATTTAATGGAGCAATACAATATACTTCATATATTTAGATTACAATATTGCCTCTAAATGAAAATTTATCATCAATTATTTAAAATCTAAAAGGATCTAAAAACTCAACACCTAAATAATAATTTAAAAATACGTTTATTAGTTTCTATTTATATTGAAACTAATTTCCAATTAGAAAGGTAGTTTTTTATGATTTAGTGTTAAAGTTGATGCAATATTAGAATAAGTGCATTGCCTAGCATCAAAATCATTGTCTTTCTTAAGTTATGAGTTTTTATGATTGCTCCAAAACTTTTAAGTTATCATGTATTTTTTCTTCTTGACTTATAATTTGTAAATAATTTATTGAGTTAGCCAGAGATGATTATGTCTTGAAGAAATGTTTCAAATTTTTAGGTCATATCTAAAATGGATTCCATAAACGTCTTCTGATCGGAGATAATTAAATTATAAGGGGATGTTATTTATTAATTTTAGAGAATCAAAGCTTTATATACAAAGAAACTTTGTAAATACTAACTAAATAAAAGTATTAACAAATTTTAAATCTAAAAGATATACTCTCTTTTTTATTGCGCCAAATCTCATGAAAAGAAACTAAAATGCTACAAAGTTTAATTTTCCTATATCACCGAACAGCAAGATATCATAAACTATTATGAAATTAAATCTCAATCTAATTTCATTATGGCTTACTCATTTTCTATTGAATTAATTAATTAATATCAAAATGTGTATTTTTATGAAGAGTTCTTCATCTCACATTTTTAATATGTATTCCATTTCTCTTAATTATTACTATTAGAGATCATCAAAAAATAATCAAGAATCAATTCCTGTAGAAATTGATTTCAGTTACAACAAAAACGCCATCAAGTTCAATTTAATGATTTTTTCAATGATTTACCAATTTGATTTTTACCTTTAGGATCATCAACTATCAAGACAAAATATGGTGAAATAGTAGGAAAGGTTAAAAGTAACAATATTTTCATTAATTTGAATTTCCTATTTGAATTAATTATCAAATTTAATTTTGATTTAATAGATTTTGAGTGTTACTAATAATAATTGTGTAAATTTAATGACTTACAATTGTTAGATTGAACATAATGGTGGATTTTATGATTCTAATTTCTAATACTTTATTAATAGACTATTTTAAACAGTAATTACAGTACAACAAAATTTGAATTTGAATTGATTAATTTTCATTTTACAGGCATTGTTACCATTAATATTTAATAATAAATTAACAATTTCTATCAAATAAATTTTATTTAATAAATATCACATTCCTTTATTTCTGGTTTATTTTATCCATATAAATGAGGATCGTCACTTTAATTTTTATGTTAATCAAATTGATATGAATAACCTAACCTACAATAACCATCACTAAAATTAATATTTATGTAAAAGTCATGTCCAAATCCAAATGTCGGTCCATAACCAGAATTACAATAAATTGCATATTACTTTCCATCTTACTTCAAAGGATAAACTTAATTATGTGTTTATGAAAATATAAAGGATGATAATGTATCATCTTGCACATAATTATTTAGATTAGATACCCACTTACAAGGAGAATATGCTCCAAAGATATAATCACTTTTTGATTGAAAAATCATGAGTAGATTGTCTTTATTATTGACTTCTTTCCAAAAAGATTCTCCATTTAATCCATTTTTTGTACCTTAAAATATTAAAGTTGAACTTTTTATCATTTTCTTTGATTTCTCTTATAAAACATAAAAAATTTTAATCCAAAAATCATCCTTAAGCAATGTTGGTTTTATACTTCATCAATTTTTTAGTTTTTAATAATTAATAAACAATTTAAAATAAATTGGGATTAAATTTTCATAATAATGTAGATTAAAAATATAATATAGATAAATATCTAATAACAATGTTCATAAATTCTTTATGATATCTAAATTGCTTAAAATAGTCAAAATTTTAATATTCTATTTGTGATTTTAATTTATCATTAGAAGGATTTTCTAAATTATTTGAAAAGAATAATCTGTTAAAATGAATAATTAAAGTTATTTAGAACAAAAATTGACAGGATTCATTAAAGTTAGTGAATTCTATTAATATTATAGGGATAGATTGAAAGTAGATGTCATAATATGGAGAAAAAATATAAGGTAAAAAAGATAATCTCACTCTCAAGACATCATTACCCCTTCGAAATTTCTAACTTTTGTATAGTATGGGCTAGAATTTAAGACAAAATATCAAATTACAAACGATAACTAAATAATTAAAAAAAGAGTTAATTTGTAGAGATATATTGAGATTAAGATTAGAAATGATTTATAACAAGTAGAACAAGTGATAAAGTAGAAGCAAAATTTATTTAACAAGTTAGAGCTCTCGGTGTGATTATAATTTTTATTAATTTTTCAACCACTGAATGTAACATTTGCAATTTCATTATTATCTCCAAATTACAAATAATTCAATTCTTGTAAGAGTTTTTAATGGTATAACACATTTAATATATTAATATGATTCTTCAGTCAAGATTTCATTAAATTGAGTTTTAATGTTTAAAACCCTCTCGCTAAGTTTCTTATCTTTTAATGTGTTATATGAAAGAGTTTGGAAAGGTTGTATATAATATCGCTAAATTACTTTATCCTTATTGAATGATTGATCTCACTTCCATTTTCCCTTGATTAAGGATCTAATCCACTAAGGTCTCTTGTTGATCAATCCTTAACATATATACTCCAATAAAAAATTAAATAAGTCTCTACCAACTAAATAGGATGCAATTACTTTTTCATATTTAAAGACAATAAATAATTGAGACTTTCTTTATGCCACTTCAAAACCCTTAAAATTAGTTTTCAATTAATTGAAAGACCAGACACCTCTGTAATGCTCCATGTTCATTTATTTGTGAAAACTTGG